TATAATTTTCAGTTCATATAATATTTTTATGGCATTTATTATAATATTTCATTTTTATAGTTTCTTAACTAAAAAAACAAGTATATTCTTGTAATGATACTGTGTATACTATGTATATTTATTATTCTAGTAATATTTTACTACTTAGTAAGTAGACAATTATTGACTATTGAAAATTCAGGATTCATTAGCTGCTTCAAATCAAGTTGCTGAAGAGAAAATATCAAATATCAGAACTGTTAAAGCATTCAGTCAAGAAAATAAAGAAATGTTTTTGTATGGAAAAAAAATGAATGAAGTATTGGAGCTTTCTATTAAAGAATCATTCATGAGAGGATTGTTTTTTGGGATGGTAAGTTTAACTTCAATTCAACATTTCAATTATTGCCATGTTTTATAGTCTATTACATTATAGTACCATACTAAATGTTTATTGAATTAATTATTTGTTAGACAGGATTTGCTGGTAACTTCATAATTATATCAGTGTTATACAGTGGAGGACTGTTGGTCAGTGAACAAGCTATTAGTGTTGGGGAATTGAGCTCATTTTTATTGTATGCTGCTTACACAGGAGTATCTATTGGTGGTTTATCAACATTCTATTCTGACATTAATAGAGGTTTGGGTGCATCATCAAGAATATGGGAAATTATTGATCGTAAACCATCAATACCTATTTCTGGTAATATTTTAACTTTAAAGTATTATTAACTTAATTATTTACGTTAAAAATATTGATTTTATAGGCGGGTTGAAACCATTAACTGATCCTAAAGGTGATATAAGCTTCCAGAATATTGTTTTTAATTATCCAAATCGACCAGACGCACCTATTCTTAATGGATTAAACTTGGAAATACCTAGTGGTATGATATATGCATTAGTTGGCCATAGTGGTAGTGGAAAAAGTACACTGGGTCATTTATTATTAAGACTTTATGATCCACAGAGTGGTCAAGTATGTTTAGACAAAACAGATTTAAAAATGTATGATCCAACGTGGTTACATGGTCATATTGGAGTTGTCAGTCAAGTAAGTTACCATGATTTCTCTAAAAGTTTTAATACTACTACTTTATTTTATCTTATATTTATTTGTTATTATTATTTATAGGAGCCTATTTTATTTTCTGGGACTGTTAAAGAAAATATTGCATATGGCCGCGAATGTGTTACAGATAATGAAATTATTGATGCTGCTAAAGAAGCAAATGCATATGATTTTATTGTGAAAACATTTCCAGAAGGATTTGATACAGTTGTGGGAGAACGTGGTGTTCTATTGTCAGGTGGCCAAAAACAAAGGATAGCTATTGCTAGAGCATTACTGAAGAATCCTAAAATCTTATTATTAGATGAAGCTACAAGGTAATTACTATTATCATTATTTATATAGTTACAGGTAATTCTTAACTTTTTTGTTTTATTTAATTGATAAAATTAATTTAGTGCATTAGATGCTGAGAGTGAAAAATTAATTCAAGAAGCGTTGCAGAGAGTTTCAAAAGGTAGAACTGTATTGACAATTGCACATAGGTTATCTACTATTAAAAATGCAGGTAACATATTGAATGCATTAAAATTTTATTCTGATGTTTAACACTATTTTAAAGTTATAAATTCAATTGATATTTAATTTTCATTAATTTTAGATAAATTGGCTTTAATATTCAATGGAAAAATAGTTGAATTGGGCTCATATGATGAACTTATGTCTATAGAAAATGGTTTATTTAGAAAACTTAACAAAAATCAAATATTTACAAGTTAATATTGATATAATACAAATGTAAACAAATTTAAGGTATAAGGTGTATTATAAGTGTTCAACATATTATTGTTATTTTTGTTATATTATATATATTTGTACAAAAAAATATATATATATGTTTGTACAAAAAAATAATGGTATTAATAATTACTCATTTTTATTTATTATGCCTGTTATCATTTTTTAAAGTATGTAATTATAATATTTTAAACTGAATCACTTTATATTAGTAATTAGTATACAGTTTAAAAAATTACCTCGATCAATTAATTAAAAATATTTTATTTTTAATATTATACACTATTATCAGAAGTACGAGTATGTGTCCAAAATCAATATACTTTTGTTTAACAATACTTTTGGGGGAATTTTTTTTTTTAAATTTAAATCTATTTATGATATATTATAAACATTATCTCTAATAGATTTTTTTTTTGACAAATTTTATTAATTTTAATTTTAATAATAAAAAAAATTCTTTATTAGATATTCATTGCAAGAGTTTAATAATAATGATTAGAAATTATGAACATTCTATTTTTGCCTCTTAACAATAATTGACTGATTGTTATGTGGCAAATAAGATATTTTATTTTTTAGCTTGTAAATTTGTGTGTACACTAAACTGCTCTTCAGAGTTATTACATATATCTACATCACTTAGACATTTAGCAGAACTTAACTTTTAAAATACATTTTTAGGAGGGCATATATACATTATAAATTATCACTACCTAGGCAGGTACCTAATGGATAACAAAATTCCTTTACATAAATTGTAAATTGTAGCACTTTGATAAATAATTATAGTCTTATAATAGTATTATTGAATTTTAAAATAAATGAGCTACTGGAAAATAAAGAAGTTGCGATATTTTTATGTTTTCCTATACTAATTTATTAATATCACTGGAATTTCTTCACTAGGTAATTTAAAAAAGAAAAGAAAATGGTATTCATTGTTCTTTCTTTCTAGGTGTTTTAAAACTCTTGCATTTTTTATAGTCATAATTTATTGAAAGTTTATCATGATTTTGATATATTGTCTTACTCGTTAGAAAGATAGGAGCAGTGTATTAAATGGTTTGAATATAGGTATAAATCATCAATATGTATCATTAATTATTAAGTATATTTTTTTTGGAAAACTTATCAAGCAGTTATGTATTTAATAATTAGTTTTAACTTTTAAGTATAATAACGTAATTTAACATAGTACGTGTAGGTGCTCATACCATTTTTGATAATGTATTAATATTGTAATGTAGTTACCTATATCTATATATCTTGTCATGTTGTAAGTAAATCTAATTATTTAAATAATTTCTCAGTCATGAAAAGAGTCCACTCGCCGATCGTGCTAATTTTTCAAAGAATAATAAACAAATAACACAAAACAAGTCATATTATTATATTAAGTTATTTTGTAATTTATAGGTGCCTATATGGTTTATCAGCGAAATAATAATTGAAAACTTGATAAGTTAAAAATATGAAAATATTCTTGTATATTACGATATTAATATTTGTTTACATTTTGTCGAATGTGGCTTTATGAAATAGCAAATTATGCATTCAAATTCTGTATTTTATTTAATCTTTTTATAAAAGAAATTTATATCTAAGCACCTTGTCTGGAATATTTTGGCTGCTACAGAAATACATAAAAATGCATAATGTTTAAAATCCTAATTATAATTCGGAGGCATAAACTGGTAAAAGACTTGGGAATGGACCAAAACAAGTAACATTACACATTTATATTGAGTAGAATGTATGTATCATTCGATAGTCATACTTGCACTACATTTTCGTACCAAAAGGCGAGAATTGAATTGTATAGTCCATAATGCCTCTTCCCTAGAATTTTAAATTTGTTACCTAGTTGTAACAATTTAATGTAATTATGATAAAAATAATAATGTTTCTATAAATAAAATGTATTATAACAATACCTAAATGTAATAATGATGAAACATAGTAATGTACTATAAGTCTATAAATAAAATGTATAAAAAAATCTTCATTTATTTTTTAAATTAATTCCTCCCCCCCTTTAAAAAAAATGTCTGGGGACGCACATGATTGTAATTGATCTAAAACGAACATCCAGTACGTAAACTCCCAATTTAATAATAAAAATGATAATTATTAATCATACATCATAGGTCATTATATTATTGAGTGTGTTTTATATAAATTCTTTAATTCGTTAAAAATAATAATGTGGGTAAATGTTGAGTCATTAACAACAATAATAAAATTATTGTGATACGAGGAAACCGTTGAAGAAATGTAGGTAGTTAATACTCAAATAGACATGGGCGTGCCACATGGCGACAGCAGAGACGACGTGTGCTGCTCCTGAACTTTTTTCAAGTAACCACGGCCGTTAAATTATTCAAATATGGGCCTCGGTAAGTTTTATTTGCATAAAGTTACATTTATGCAAATTGGTTATAGAATTACTGTTGTAAAATACAAATTTATTTATATTTTTATCGGGAATTGTAATTATTATAATATAATATTTAAATATTAATATTATTGTCAAAAAGTCTAGAAATAAATTTGAATTTCTGAAAAGTTCATCTCATTCAATAAAATGTTATCGAGAACAACAAAAAAAAAAAAACAAAACAAACAATTAACTATAGTACAATTTTAATTTCGATTCCTAGAATAAAAAACGTGAAATTATGCGACTGATTTCATATCAAATCTGGAAAACCGGTCGAGTTATCTCGATGCGGCCTTTGAAACCGGAGTAAACCGTGCCGCCTATGCTTACAGTCAATATTAAATTACATAAATACTAATACTTGTCTCGATATAAAATGCTATACTTATTGATGGAGGAAAATTATGCTATTGTCCTCCTATAAATAAAATATCTCTGCGGCGGAGAAGTCAGCCCTTCATCGCGCCCACAATTAAACCACTGTTTAAAACTGTAAAGTATCTACTTATGTGAATATCGTGATCTATTTACAAAGATTCACTTTGGTCGTACTTAGAACGTCTGTAAGTGACTTCATTAATCATTGAGCAACCTAATATTCGACGTTTCGCGCCACCGTTTTTATACCTCTGAACCGGTTCGCCTGTTACCTTGTTTTACATTTACACTTGCATAATATCGTTGTGACGTCAATTCAGCGTTCGTGACGTCAACGTGGTCCGACCATACTCCGTGATATTCGTTGTCTTTGATAATAAACGAATAAAATCTTTTAATTTTTATCATCGCAAGTCACAAGCGTTAAGCTCACAACATTCGTCCGTGAGTGGTGGCTGATGAGTCATTGCGTGTCTTATACCGTATAAACATAATAAACATAATATTACAGTAATACAGTGACTAGTCACCAAAGTTGATTCTTGAGCTCAGTGCTATATAAGGTGAATGATTCATTTCTGACGGTACACTGTTTGCAGACTTCCTCGCAACTGAAGTTCTAGATCTCGTCCAAAGTCAAATAATTCTTGTTCTCTGCTCACGTCGTTTCGTCCATTTCCGTCGATCTCGTCATGGCTCAAGCTCCATTCCTCAATCCGGTAAGTGCTGTACACCGTAATATTAAACTCACTATCGTATATTACAATGTATTGACATCTTTACCAATCGCTATAAACAATATTGCAGACAGTAAGTAGTATGTACTGTAATATAATAATAATGGTTTGTCAGCCTGCCGTTTACAGTATTGACTAACACTTCTAATTTCATGGTTTTCAGACCATCCCGTTTGTTGGACCGATACAAAACGGTTTGAAACAAGGCACATTACTTAGCTTTCATGGCACATCATACCCGTCTTCAAACAGGTGAATATCAATACTCAATATTACTATGAAATTGTGATATGATCACAATACCAAATTAATATTTGTATCTATTTTGATTTTTGTTACTGTTTGTGTGTAGGGTCTGTATAAATTTACAAATAGGTCCGAGTGTTGCTCCTCGAGACACCGTCGCCCTATTTGTTGCTTTAGACTTTAACCGCAACTTGATTGTCAGGAACTCTATTCAAGCACAAAATTGGGGCGTGGAGGAAACTCATGGTCCACCTGTGGCTCTCATTCGAGGCCAACCATTCAAATTGGACATTTTGTGCGATGCTTATGATTATAAAGTGAGTTTGGATAAATAGTTGAATAAAATTATGTTCTAATGTGCAGAATTCAATTGTGATAAACTTACTATTTCATGTATTAGATAGCATTTAACGGATCCCATTATGCAGAAATGAAACACAGGATACCATTTCAAAGTGTGTTTTACCTAGCTATCGATGGAGAAGCACAATTTCAAAGTATACATATAAATTCTGCTGGAAGTACTCAGTTTGGTGGTTCGACAATGCCAATGCCTGGTAATCCACCTGGATATGTGCCAATGCCCGGACAGATGCCAATTCCTGGACAAATGCCTATGCCCGGACAGATGCCAATTCCTGGACAAATGCCTATGCCTGGAAGCTATGCATCTGGACATATGCCATCAGCAGGTCATATGCACATGCCTGGAGCTCCACCTGGAACTGTTCCACCATATACTTCAGGTTATAGTGCTTATCCTGGTCAAACTCATAATTCACCTTATTTACAGGTTTGTTATTAATATAAATATTTTTTTAATCATATAATACTACTGAAAAACTAACTTATTACTTACAATTTTTTGGTTTTTATAATTATGGTTTTTACTAATAGTTGATAAATAAGTTTTATCTATATTAGGAATATTGTAATTAAAATAACTAAAATATTTTATAAGTCAGATAATTAGTAAAATAAATTTTTTTCTGAAAATATTAAGTAATAAACGCATATATTTTTATTTATTTCAGTAGTGTATGATTAGCTATTATTTAATAATTGTACTATTGAAATAAAATAAATTTAGAATATATTTGTTTTAAATATAGAAACACACAAGTTCGCCAATTAAAGATGCTATCAATCAAGGATTAACTAATTATGCTCTAACTGGACATATTAGCCCTGTAAGTTTGTGTACTAATGTAATAATAATATAATATTGAAATGACACATGCCATTTGTTAGGTTTGTTGTTAATGTCTATCATATATTAGAAAGTTATATGGTATTATTGCACTACATATCAAATTTATTCTTTATTGAAATAAATAATATGTTTTAGTCTTCTATTCTCTGATCACTGAGAAAATAGTACTGTGTGACAGATGAAAACTTGTTGTTTCTTCTCACTTCAGCATAAAACAGCTAGATTTTCCTACTTACCACCAGTTTCTATCCAGTGGAGACAAGTACTTTATCTTATTCATATGTGTGTTGTGTAACAGTAGTGGTACTGTTTTCTTAATGAACAAAGTATAGGTTAATATTAAATTTATTTTATTATAAATATTATTATAATCTTAAATTAAGTATGGAAAATTTATCTATAATGGTAGTGTTTGACTCAATTTCAAAACATACTATTTAAGTCATGATTATTTATACGTTGTGAAATTTGAACATCAAATAAAAATATATAGATGATATTTTCACATTTAAGTATGATATATAATTAATTATAGACTTATAACCCATAATATGGATCTTATAATATTTGGTGTATTGTTTTACTTTGAGATGAATAATTTGATATGTTTGTGTACAAATAAAATAACAGGTAAGGATAATACATTTTATAAAATAAATTAATATTAAGTATTAGTAATTTGTATCATTTTAGTTAGTTAATTATAATAAATACATTTTGTTATTGTTTAGCGTAAGGCAGCAAAAGCTCAAAGAAAACAGGCCAAAAAAGCTCTGAAATATGGTGTTCCTGTAGCTGGAGTGGCTGGAGTTGGTGTTGGTGCTTATGCTATGCACAAAGCACATAAGCATAAAGGATATAAACATAAAAAGGGATCTAAGTCATCGAGCAGTAGTAGTAGTAGTAGTAGTAGCAGCAGTAGCAGTGATTGAATGAATGATAATAATTACATATTTTAAAGTTGCTGGTTAACAATTTTATTGCTTAATATGAAGTTTTAACTGAGTATCTGCATAACAATCATAGTATTATTTTTATATTACTCAGCATATTAAGATCTATTATGTGTTTTAATTTTATTTGTATTTATAATTTGAAACATTTATTTTAGGTTTCTACTTATTGTTATTGTTGCATAGGCTATGATAAAATGTAATGTTGTGTTGTTTTTAAATTAATTTTGTAATCTTGTGTAAAGCTAATTTATTTTGTTATATTATTAAATTAATAATTTCAATTTTTTTGTTTACTTTTCCTATTTATGTATAAAATGTGACAAGTTTACTATATGATTAGATGGTTGTAACTTAACAATATATGATTTGTTTAGTTTCTCTTTATGCAAATTTTAACCGTTGACATTTAATATTCAGATTAACCATTCCATAGGAATATTCCATTATGTATTTATGTAAATTATTTTTTATCATACATTGCAAAAATCAATCTTACCGTTAATCAATAAGTTCTCTAAAACCAGCTATAGTAACAATTATTTGAAGTTGATGCTCATTCATTCAAATTATGAATTAACTAATAATACTAGCTCTATGGATAGATGTCTTCATAAATGATTTATCTAAATCTAGATAATAGATTTAATATTAACAATGAATTGCACTTAAAGTTAATAATGAAATGTTATCAAATTTATCTACAAGGATAAATTGGGATTTTATTTTATTTTTTTTATTCAGTTCAATTATTCAGTATATTAATATATCCTTGTGGTAATAAAGCACATAAGCAATTTAATGATAATCATAAGGGTTAAGATGGTTAAGTACTGCTGATACTCGATTTTGTTCATTTGTAACTACATTATAGATGCAAATGATTTATTATTACTTATATTTTTGTATTTTATTTAAATTTTCCACATTTTTGAATAAATGCATACAGGGATGTTATAAATTTAATAAAATATTTTAAACTAAAAATGAATCTATAATTATTTCAGGAATATAATTCAAATACACGAATGGCAGATTAGGTTATATAACCTATTATCTTACTCTAAATGAATAAAACAACAAATTAATAAATGATAGAATGGGATGAAATCAAGTAATTGTCAGTTTAAGATTTCCACTGTTTTAAATCTCTGCGACAATCATATCACACTATGTCAAAATAAGAGTTTTAAAGTAAACAAATAGATATATGCACTTAATGTGCCATGATATTTATTCGTATGTTACTAATTCAAATTTAAATTCTGTATTTAATCAATTTTTATAATTTCATGCTGACAGGTGTCGATAATTTAAAAAAAATGTATTCTTAAAAAAATGAAATTTGTTAATTTTTTGCCAGCTAGAGCTATATGTTATTTTTTTCCATAACATTTTGTATCTAAACAAATTCACACATGTTTGTGTACTTTTATCCTTAGCTCTTCTACCTAATTAATATTTATTATTTATCAATTTAATTTCTGTACCTATGTATGATGGCGATAAGTTATAATAATAAAATTCATAAACATGCTTATAAATTAACTAGCTATCTAATACCAAATTAGTAATTTCGTGCATATTTTTTAACACGTTTTTTGTATCAACCTTATTTCAAATTAAATTGAAGGGTTCGGTGCAAGAACCAGATGGGTATCTCACTATCTCTACTTTTTTTCAAAATGCATGTTTTTCCATTTACTGATAAAGAATCATTTTGTCAACATTTAGATGCAGTAACCAGGTATATCCGTTCATTAGATAAGCAAATATAGAAATAGAGCCTATGGAGGTGTCTGGTAACAGTATTCGGCGCATTAACCTGGTATCTCCAAATTTTTTAATTAATTAATTATTTCATTACTATAATTCAGAAAAATGTTGTTTTTCTCTATGCTGTGCTGTAAAACTTAATTTGTAACGAATAGTTTTATAGTTGCACACTGTTTTGTATTATTTGTGATTGTATTTTAATCTTAAATAATTGTTGTTAGATAAGTCAAAATATGAAAAAAAAATATCATTTCGGTGCAATAATTAGTTACCTATCTCTATGTTTTTTTATTTGCACCAATTAATAATGTACTTGTAATAATTTAAAATGTATATATTATACATATAAATATGTATAGCTAGTTCTTTATTTGGAGAATTCAAGTATGTTTTTGAAATATTTTTACCTCTGTTAGAAATTAATTAATTTGGTTATTTATTTACTGGACCCTTCAATTAAAGATAAACTTGTAGTCAAAATACATTTAGATCTGGCTGATAATAAAGTGTATTACATTAATATTATATATATTTATTTATTCGTGACTTGAGCATGATGGTATCTTATACTCGGTCTGTAAGTTAATACGTACTCAATAGTTATAGATATTATTATTTATTATTATACGCCCCGCGATATTTTTACTGTTCGATTTTTTTCAGGGTACCTATTTATTTAATCGTTTTATTATAAGATGTTAAATAGGTTTAAAGATTTCCATTTTCTATTTTTTCTAGCATAACATATTACACGGATCGTCATATTTTTTATATTTTTTTAGCGAGACATTTTGAAAAAGGCCGTTCGGCTGTTATTATGGTGCCCCGGTCAAATTTTTAAAAAGCGCTCTTAAAAATGTAGTTTAAATTAAATTTTTATTGTTTTAGACAATTTATTATTGTAAATGGTCGTATTATCTTTACACACTGTTATTAATTTAGTTAATTCTTTCAGTGCATCTATTATTTGTGAGATTTTATTTTTAACCACATTAGTACAATTTATTCAACATGACCATAGAGCCTTCACATAATGGCTTAACAGATAAAGATTTAATGTGTTTTTAAGATAAATCAACTACACACAGATGCAGAGAAAAACATGTATATTCGTTGAATCGCTCCAAAGACGTTTTTTTGACTCAATAGAACATGAAACACTATATCCAACTACTAAGTTCAGTAAGTGACAACCACATGGCATAAAAAAAAGCTCGAGAATCGGCTCATAACATTTTTGCTTGTACGCATTTATTTTTAGCCTTCATATTCGCTCAATTATTATATCCCTGACATCTACTGTTACTTAGTTCTAGTTTACAAATATACATTATTATATAGTCTTATAAATTCTTTTACCAGACTAGTATAAATATTGGTCTCTGATATAAAAATTTCGATTTGTGAAATACTAATTGCGTCTCGGGTTTTCTATACTACTATGCTAATTGCGTCCCGATAATATTTAAAAACTACTTAGTTCAATTATTACACGGACAACAAATAGCTGTAAAGCTTTCCATTCAAAACTTAACGGTATGTTTTATTCTGCTCATTCAAATATCAACAATTTTATTGATATATTTCAAAACGTACAAAAATATACTTGCATAAAAATTCACAATTGTAGTCTAATACGACGTGAACGAAATAACACGTTTTGTTCGTTTTGATTTTGTCAAAACTGTATTGTTCAAATTTTTTCCGAGCCATAAATATATTATAATAACATATATGTATGTAATTTATGTATTATAACTAATATTTTTTACTATTTTTTTTTTATATTTAACGATTAAAATAATATTTTTGATGTATATAATTACGATACGATAAAAAACAATATTTTTAACCTAACTTAGCAATATGATATTTATAATATTTATTCAATGTTATTGAATCTTAAGTTTGTATAAAATGGGAAAGAAAATAATGTACTTACTTCGGATGCAATTAGTATAGTTGTTAAATATTATCGGGATGCAATTAATGTAGTAAAGTTAAAGAAAGTTGTTCAACGTAACTAATGTCCTGAGTGCAATCCAACATAATACTATATAATATCAAATTTAGCTTTTTTAGTTCGATATAGTATATTGTTTCGGTAAGTTTTCAATTATACAATTAATTTTATTTTGAATAGTTTTTCCACAATAATGAAAATGTATTTTATGATAAATACAAGACGAACGTGTCATTCATACCTAATCGTTGACGTCAAATAAATTGGTACGGCGATAGTGATGATGATTATAAGTCATTGTGCCCCAAGCCTCCAAAGTTGTAATATTATTGTAATGTTTATTATTATATCAATATATTTATATTAGTTCATTATTTCGTTAACTAAAAAAAAATATATTAGTTTTTAAAATTTTTTGAACACCTTTAAATGCGTCTCTGGTGCTGCCCCTATTCTTAAGGTGCCCCGGGCGACCGCCCGGTTTGCTCGTGTCTTGGGTCGGCACTGAGCATTATATAATATATATTACCTATATATCTATGTATTTTTAATTATTTATTTATAATATATAAGTATTATAGAATTTCCTGCATCGAATGGCGATTACGTTCTTTCAGACGGTTATAGTCCACAGCTAGTGTTCAGGCTTGATACTAAAATATGCACGACCCGAAATCCACATTAAGCACCTATCCATTTATGTATAACCCCGCGTCCTCGCATTTGTCTACCAGTAGAGCCCGGGGAGTGGTAATGTGGTACTATTATAATTTTGTACCAGAAATTATAATTCGGACGCATTTCTCATACAGCCTGTAGGCTGTAGCACATGTGACCGTAATCATTATTGTGTTTAATACCGAAATGCTGATATAATAAATAATGATTATTATTATGTACGCATTAATAAATCATAAAACACGACAAGGGTGCTACCTATCCTATGTCAATGCCTATATCGTATAATGCCGTTATGATAAAGGTGTCGGTATGTTATCTACCAAACAAATAGGTACCTACGTACTAATTGTTTATACAAATTATTAAAGTAAACTTTATTAAATTTTAATTTATGGAAAACCGCGTTTTTCATAACACATCTGTTATCAAAAATAATTCGAAAAATACGAGCAAATAATTTACAGAAAGGTGTTTTAAAAAAAGGTCATTGTATTATACATTTATACACGAATATTATTATTATTACTTTGTTGAGCACTCACAAAAGATTGCTGCTTTTATGCATTTAGTAGAAACTCGTCAAAAAATAAATTCTTTGATGATATATGTATAATGCATACAAACGTATCGAAGGATTCAATACATCTATAGATTTTATAGATTTACGACATTATTTTTTCAACAGTCTCA